GAGGTTCTGGAATAGCATCCCAACAGGACCAGTGAGGGGAAAGCCAATTCATTTTCAGATGCAGTTGCATTTTCAAGAGATAGTGAATAAGATGACATGATGTGGCTGACTTGAACTAGCCAGAAACTAGGAATAGCAACCAGAAAATCCCTTCAACCCTTGTATTCTTACTGACTTGGTTAAAGCTGCTGTAGTCCCTTTTTTCATTGCACAGAACAGACTTTGCAAATTTAGGTGAGCTCAACTCTCCAACTTAATTTTCATCAGTTGTTTTTTTTAAAGACTCTTCTAGTTTTATCTCTGAGATCTCACAAGTGGAGATGTTTAGTTTGGGCCACCATTTGATTAGGAGGTTTAGCGTGGCCAGTAATTTGGTTGGAACTGCTTGATGGCTGAAAATGACACCTTGAGGAGGTATTAAACTAAGATCCAAGAGCGATGGCTAGGTAGCACTGAGGATCTATTATTTGAGAGACATGACACTGAAGTGAATATATTCTGTTTGTTGTGTTTGCAGTTGGGTGTGTAATTTCATTTCATATCCTAAGTTATTAGAAGTGTTTCAGTGGCCTTCAGATGTGGTTGTGTCTCAGTTATGTACTTCAACTGCATCAAGAGTGATGGTGTGAGCCTGCAATGATAACTGTACGAAAACGACTTCAAAATTTTAAGAAGAAAAAGAATCCAAACATCGCCTTTAAATGTTTGTAATAGTAGTGACCAGGAAGTCCTTTCTTCAGCTTTGGATTACGATTTTAATTCCAATGTTTCAAAACATTTGTGAAGGATGTAACCTGAATCTTCTCAGTGCTGCAATGTCCATAGAGGTGATTGGGAGCAGAAAGTGCAATTTCTGTTGTGTGAATCGGTTCTTATTGCTATATGCACAAAGAACAAAATATGGTCATTTGGAAAAGAATGCAAAATATCGAAAGATCACTAGGGGTTTTTTTTTAGCTTTTATACAGATTTCATACTTCACAGTAAAATAAAAGCATGAGTGCCTAATCTGTTTACACTTGTGCTGCATGGATTTCAGCAACTTGGAAAGATTCTACTTTATATTCAACTTGCATGAATGCAGTTGACTGAATAAGATGCCAAGTAGTAGAAGGGCTTCTATTGTGTTCATTACACTTAAGCGTACAGGACAGCATTCAAATCGTTTTGCAATTTACTATACTTCAGTTGCAAAGAAGTCAGGGAGCCGGTTGATGTTTCTGGTATATCACTGGATGTTGTTCTTGTATTACTTGATTTAATCAAGATGGGTATTGTGAGTGGGTCAGAATTCAGAGTGGTATTTGGTATATGCAAAACAATACCTAGTGCAATTGATTTTGAAGCTGCAGTGCTGCAAACTTAGAAATAAAGTAGGTAAGGTATTTCTATAAGGTGACGTTCCCTTATTTACTTTAATCTTTTTTAATCTTTTAGCTTGTGTTTGCTCCCTCAGTCCTGTGATATCTGCCTTTTTCATACCTCTGAATCATGCATTCCTGTATTTTGTAGCTGTTTAACTATCTAAGTTTTGCGAGGCACACAGCAAGGATTTCATCAACAGAGTATTGTTACTCACCTGATTACTCTGCTGTGCTCATTTTAGCCTAATAGCCTCAAATAAAATCCCTTCCTATTCAATGCTAACAAATATTACTATTTCTTCTTGCTGTGTGGATTTTTGCTTCATATTTCCTCCTTTAGACTATTGACGTGTATTTAATAGGAACAAGACTAGTCTTAATACCAAAGCCTATGGTGATGTACATCAGATCAAAGTTCTGAAATAGTCAATGGATGAATATGGTTTTGTTCCTAACTAAAGCAATTAGTTTTACATGCTGCTTTTCAATGAAACTTTAATGTGTGAGCTCTTGTATCAATTTAATTTCATTATGCCAACATATTTACTATGCTAGAGTAGAAGTTGAGTCAGTATTTCCATTATAACATCCTATTTTACAACTGTAAAATTAGTATTGTACTCTTTAGGGGGTTATAATCTGGCTGTAAAAATTCATTTAGGGCAGAAACTTGGCATCTGAGGTTTCAACAGCATATATCTTGGGGAAAAAAGAAAATGTAATTTTGGAATACAATGCATTTGTAGATAGATTAGAGTTATGAGGGCAGAGAAAAATGTTAACTTAAACACACACTTTGATTTGCAACCCAATTTCTAAAATGTTTTTTTAAAAAGCTCCTAAACAAACAGCACAGAAAATACTTTTCTTTTGTCACCGGTGCTTCATATAGACCAATTCAGAAGGGATGGGCGGGGTGGTGGTGGGAAAGGGGAGAAAAGTACTTCTTAGTTGTATATGAATTTTTCTTCAGTTATACTTCAGTCAGCTCAAAAACACCCTTTTCTTTTCACATTTCTAGTTAATGTATATATTTCAACATGATGTTAAGATTGTAACACAGAATAGTTGATAAAACTTTTCAATGACAAGAATTTGTGAATCTTTTCAAAAACTGAGGCATGAACCGTTATCTTCTCTCACTTTTATGTAAGAAGGTATTGGAGGCCATCACTTTTCCCATGATTATATTTCCTTTTTTATACCATATTTTTTGAATAGGAAATTGCGATTAGAATTTAGGATTTTTGTTTTTTTTAAACTGACCCTCATATGTAGGTAAGGAGGTAATGTCATCCCTTCAGTTCCTCATCAGGCCCTGAATTAAGGTGGTATTTCAACAACATTTCAGGAATACAGGCAAAGGTACTGTTGTGGTTTAACCCCAGCTGGCAACTAAGCCCCACACAGCCGCTCGCTCACTCCCCCC